TAAAACCCTCATTTTTACTTCGTATCGATTACACTGGACTTTATAATGTTTTTTTGGTCATAATAAAACTTGTTATTACTTCAGGGTACATGCACTTGGTATCTACATCTAAGTGTAGAACTTTTCTCCTGTGCTCACATTGTAACATAGCAGGGAAAGTTTTTGGCAATGCCAGTTTCCCATATTGGCAGGAGTTTTGTCCCAACTACTCCACTTCTGATCCACCTTCTTGCTAATAGCTTGGGAAAAACAGCAGAAGATGGGTCAGATGCTTGAGCCCCTGTGCCCAAATGGGAGATGCAAATGGAACTTATGGCTTCTGGCCTTGGCCTCATCCCAGCTCCACAAATTGTGGCCAGCTGGGGAGTGAATCAGATGGTGGATGTGCTCTCTGTCTCTTTCTGTCTCTCTCTCTCTTCTCTTTCTCTCTTTTCATCTCTGTAACTTGACTTTCAATTAAATATCCCTCTTTAAAAAAATAATCCTTCCTCTGCAAGGCTGACTTTATCATTTGAGACTCGTTGGTAGTCTCTTCTTCAAAGACGCCTTCCTTGACCATTGTATATCTTATTTTCCTCCTCCAAATTTTCTACTCCTTATTATTTTATTCTACTTGATTTTATTCAGAACACTACTGTCTAACACGATCATTTATTTACTCGTTTAAAGTCTTTTCCTGTGGCAATAAATGACAGTTTCATGGAAACAGGGATGCTCTCTGCTAAACTTCTGATACTAGTGCCTACATAGTAGTTGTAAAGTAAGTGTCTCAACTTCAATATGAGAAAATAATCTGTTTCTTAAAAAGATAAAACTTTAGTGTATTAGGTTTTAAGCACCAAAAAGTGGTTAGAAAGGTAATAATAACAAATGGTAGACTTTTTAGGTGTGCCTCAAGCTCCTATCCTATTTAGAAAGAACTGTCCTGACCACAGAGGCACTGCTTTCTGCTATGTGACCCAAGATCTAAGAGCCTAATTAATTAATTAATCAATGATACAATTCTATAGGCTGTGGGATTTTCTTTCTTCGCACTACTTCTAATTTGTACCAAGTCATTACAATAGTATAGTCCTTCACAATCAGTCATAAGTCCATCATTCTGCTATTTAAGTGTATCCTGACATTGTAGGTATAGACAATGGCAGAGTCCAGCATCCTATTGTCAAGATACAGTTAACAGTTTCATTGGGAGTCCATGTTTGATTTGGAAGTAGAAATACACACTGTGTTGTATCTTCACATCTGTGATAGTCTCTTCTACACAGTTACTATACACCCCATTAAATGAAAAGCCATAAATAAATTCAACAACAGAGAAGAAACCAGAAAATTTACAACATAAAATTCTACCTTTTACAACCAAATGGTCCCAACTAGAGACCATTATGCTCAGTGAAACAATTCCAAAAGGACAAATATCATATGTTTCCTCTGATATAAGACAACCTTCATGCAATAGCCCTTTCAATACTGTTTTTGCTACATATCAGGGGATTTGATAATTTTGTTTTGTTTTCATTCATTCCAAGAGCCTATTTGCAGCACCATCACTAATGGTATTCATCAAGGCAGGTAATTTTGAATAAAAGTATTTTGTTAATTCACTAGTTATTACTCTTCACTGCTGGACATTGGTTTTGTGGCACACATACACTCCACAAATTTGGATCCTACATTAGTACATGATAACATATTAATGCAATGCACATACATGTAGTACCTACAGTAATGTTAAAAATACTGAACTCTAAATTTATCATCTTTAAAAATCAAAGAATTAGTATGAGAAAATTGGCTTTTCTGTACTCTACAGAGTGACACATTTTCTTGAATGTTAAGCATAGTGTCTTGCCATTGAAGTTATCCATTAAAATTTCAGTTACATCCATAAACAAGCTCTTATACAGCCATATTTGTGTTTTATATGCTGATATTTGCTAGGGGAGTATTTGAAATAATACATATCATTTAACTTGTGTATATATGATAATAGACATTCACTTCACATGTCTTGAATAGGTGGTTACTACTTACTTTAATATGGTCATTTTGGCTAATGTGATGTAAAGCATGTGAATTAGTAGAATAGACTAAATTTGGGAAACTGTAGGGAAAGGAAAATGTTTAATATAGAGTAATTTTTTAAGAAGATGATTTTATGTGTTTTGAGTATAGCAAAATTCAAAAAATGATACTTTGAAATCCAGACATTTGTCTAATGACTGGCAAAAATTGTTATTAAGTATGAGTTAAAATAATTATAATTATTCTGTTAGATTTTACCTAATTTTTTAAAATTAAAATTAAAGAAATAAGTTTTTAGGTAACGTAATATTTGGCAGTTCAATGAATTCCATTGGATTTCAGTTTATAATTCTGCTGTTACTTTCTGAGTACCACTGTGTTCCTCCATAGTACCACAATGTTCCTCCATAGTACCACTGTGTACCTCCATAGTACCACTGTGTGCCTCCATAGTACCACAATGTTCCTCCATAGTACCACAGTGTACCTCCATAGTACCACAATGTTCCTCCATAGTACCACAGTGTACCTCCATAGTATCACTGTATGCCACCATAGTACCACTGTGTACCTCCATAGTACCACTGTGTGCCTCCATAGTATCACTGTGTGCCACCATAGTACCACAGTGTACCTCCATAGTACCACAATGTTCCTCCATAGTACCACTGTGTACCTCCATAGTACCACTGTGTGCCTCCATAGTACCACAGTGTACCTCCATAGTACCACTGTTCCTCCATAGTACCACTGTGTACCTCCATAGTACCACAGTGTACCTCCATAGTACCACAATGTTCCTCCATAGTACCACTGTGTGCCTCCATAGTACCACTGTGTTCTTCCATAGTACCACAATGTTCCTCCATAGTACCACTGTGTACCTCCATAGTACCACTGTGTACCTCCATAGTACCACAGTGTACCTCCATAGTACCACAATGTTCCTCCATAGTACCACAGTGTACCTCCATAGTATCACTGTATGCCACCATAGTACCACTGTGTACCTCCATAGTACCACTGTGTGCCTCCATAGTATCACTGTGTGCCACCATAGTACCACTGTGTGCCTCCATAGTACCACAATGTTCCTCCATAGTACCACAATGTACCTCCATAGTACCACAATGTTCCTCCATAGTACCACTGTGTGCCTCCATAGTACCACTGTGTTCTTCCATAGTACCACAATGTTCCTCCATAGTACCACTGTGTACCTCCATAGTACCACTGTGTAACTCCATAGTACCACTGTGTACCTCCATAGTACCACAATGTTCCTCCTTAGTACCACTGTGTACCTCCATAGTACCACAGTGTACCTCCATAGTACCACTGTGTACCTCCACAGTACCACTGTGTGCCTCCATAGTACCACTGTGTACCTCCAAGTACCACAATGTTCCTCCATAGTACCACAGTGTACCTCCCTAGTACCACAGTGTACCTCCATAGTACCACAATGTTCCTCCATAGTACCACTGTGTGCCTCCATAGTACCGCTGTGTACCTCCATAGTACCACTGTGTACCTCCATAGTATCACTGTGTGCCTCCATAGTACCACTGTGTGCCTCCATAGTATCACTGTGTGCCTCCATAGTACCAATGTGTGCCTCCATAGTACCACAATGTTCCTCCATAGTACCACTGTGTGCCTCCATAGTACCGCTGTGTACCTCCATAGTACCACTGTGTGCCTCCATAGTACCACAATGTTCCTCCATAGTACCACTGTGTGCCTCCATAGTACCGCTGTGTACCTCCATAGTACCACTGTGTGCCTCCATAGTACCACTGTGTACTTCCATAGTACCACTGTGTACCTCCATAGTACCACAATGTTCCTCCATAGTACCACTGTGTGCCTCCATAGTATCACTGTGTACCTCCATAGTACCACTGTGTACCTCCATAGTACCACTGTGTACCTCCATAGTACCACTGTGTGCCTCCATAGTACCACTGTGTACCTCCATAGTACTACAATGTTCCTCCATAGTACCACTGTGTGCCTCCATAGTACCACTGTGTGTGATTTTTCTAAAGCTGAGATGAAAAACTTTTACCTCTGTAACTCTTCCCCAACCTTGCCAAATAGGGGTGCATTCAATACCCTCCTGCTTATGGGGACCAGCTTCCTGCCTCTCAGCCTGTACTTGACCTCCTACCACGTCCTGTAAATATACAAAAAACTGGGGTGCTTTCTTTAATTGCTGCATGCAGCAGATCATGCAAAAACTTGCCTGTTTTAGTAATACTTCAATTATTTTGTGACTAAATCATCTAAAAAAAAACTGATCTCTTTTTTTCTCTCAAATGAATGCAGGAAAAGAATCTTTTATTTATTTTAGGAATGTAGATTTAACTCAATAATTTTCAAATAAATGCTTTATAAATGAAGCTAATAATAATTCAAGCCTGTTTGAAAATTTAAGCATGACCAGATAAACTTTAATAATTTTGTATAAAATGACAAAACTTATTTTTTAAGGGTCCACTTAGCAATGGATTTTACCACATTGTGTAAAACTTCCCCTGGTGCTTAATTTCCTTTTGAAGATAATGGTAAAGGAAGGAAGAGAAGAATACCATTGGGAACAGCCTTCTCCTATTGTGTGGCCCGCCTGAAAGCTTACTCACATTGTCAGTATACCACATTTCACTCAACGAACTCACTAATTTTTCCATGCATCTGTTTCCCCTTGTGACGTTACAAACAAGTGTCTGTTACAGCAGCAGAAATAAAAGTTGAAGTCTGATTTTGCACAGTTGTATTGAAAGTTGGACTTAAACAGTGAAGCACATTTGAGACCATAGTATTGCAAAAATCTTCAGTACTAGAAACATGTTCCATAGAGGATATAATTTAATTCCTTATATTTGCCAGATAGTTCATCTAAAATGCATTTTCTGTCTTTTCGTTTTTACCCTTGTCTTCCTCGCTTTTCATGATGCATCGGCTGACAGTGTCTTTACCTCCAAAATGCAAAGCAGACAAATGGGCATGGCTGGGAAGAACATGACCAAAAGCACCAGCATCAGCGGAGACATGTGCTCGCTGGAGAAGAACGATGGCAGCCAATCCGACACCGCCGTGGGCGCGTTGGGCACCAGTGGCAAAAAGCGGCGCTCTAGCATCGGGGCCAAAATGGTAGCTATTGTTGGTCTGTCACGAAAAAGTCGCAGCGCTTCTCAGCTCAGCCAAACGGGTAGGAGTTTTTTATTTTACCTTGACTTCATGTTCAAGTTGTTACAGCGCCGATTCTTTCCGTTGATTCGTTTTCTTGCAGTAATGTGAGGATGATGTCGTGTTCCAGAGACAACGGATCATTCTGTAAACTGGTTCATCTTTGGCTGGGGGGGAACCTCTGATGATGATTTTTTGTTTCAGAGATCAGTGAGCTACATTTTGAAATGCACCCTAGCACTGGTTTTGAAATGTGTGTACCGTCTTTTCTCTTAAGAAAGGCTGGAAGCTGTGGTTTCCCCATCGCTAGTGGTTGAGGCTTTGGCAAGTTATTCCGATCCGCAGGGTCTCCGCTCTTCTTTAGGCCCCTCTGAGTTGGAAAACGCAGTATCAGTTTTCATTCCCAGCAAGTTGAAGGTGATGCCTCAGACTGTGGATGAATTAGAAAGCTCTGTTATTGCTGACAACTTAACTTCCTTTTTTTTGCTAGAAAGCAACCTTTATCAGTAGTTTCAATTTTCTTACTACAGTTTTTATTTTCCTGTTAAAACTTCAAGCAGCAATATTCTCCAGCAGCACGGATGGAAGAATTTTCTGCTGACAGTGAAGATATTCAAAGCTTTCTTAACTTTAAAATTCAGCAACTAAATCACATCTGCAAACATGAATTAGGTACTGCGCTCCTATTCAGAAAAGCCACTGTTCACAATGAAAAAACCTGTGACTCAAAGAAGTATCTTTTTAAGAATGGCTGTTAATAATTGAACACTAAATCCCTGTTATCTTGGAAATAATTGGATATCATCTAACAAAGAATGTAATATTATTTTGTTTAGCAGCAAAATAAATTATAGGCAACCAGATTAGATATAATTTATGTCTGTGTACCGGGGTTTATGTATAAAGAAGTCAGGCCATAAATATACAGCATAAAGTAATTGGAGGTTATTTTAATTCCTGGACCCGGCTAATCTTGATTTTTACAAATTTTTGTAATGATTCTGAAAATTAAACCTTTTATAACAATATATTGAACTAGTTATTAGATAATATTCCTTATGCTGTGGTTCTAATTTGACATATGGATTCTGATTTTGTTATAGGTCTCGGTATTTTGTGTTTTAAAATATTATTTTTTATTGCATGTAGAAATTGAAGAAGTTTGAGTTTAAGAAAAATGGACCTACAGATCACAAAGATTTTTAAGCTGCTAATATTTATACATAATTAACTGTTGTACTGATACGGTAGATTTGACCTACTGAGTTTTTAAAATACTTTTCTAGGAGCTAGACCTTCACTTGCAAAGATTTATAAAACTGCTTTTAAAGAAAAATGCCTGTGATTTTAAAAAGTGAAACATAAATGGTTATGGCAAATGCTATGCGTAAGAAAATATGTGGTGTTAAACTAAATACTTCTATTCATGTTGAATTTTTTGATAACTACTTAGTACTTACTGTGTTCTAGACTACTTAAATGTAGTAGAAGACAGATTGTTTCAAGGTCCTATGTCTTTGGTAAAACTAGAATTAAGAGAAAATGCACTGGATGCTCAGCGGTTAAGTACCTGACCTCGTACCACACAGGAACGCACAGGAATGATGAGCAGTTATGTGTAATGTTAATATAAACCGTCCAACTCAGTGGCTAAGAGGAATCTGATAGATTAGCAGGGGACAAATTCGGGAGCATCCTGCAAACCAAATTCATAGGTGATATGATATTTTAAGTTTCCAGATGATAATTGATACGGTTGTATTTGTATACTTTAAATAGCTTGTAGACCATTGAGGCTACCATTTATCTCAGTTACTGTGTGCCAAAACCTATCCTAAAGAAAGCACAAGGGGCAGGATTCTCGTCCTCCAGGGGCCTGCGTTCAATCAGGCTGCAATCAAGGAGCAAACCATCGATATCAGTTAAATAATACTTTATGATGAACTAGCCAAGCATTACAGTAATTTAGACAAGAGGTAAGATCTGAAACGAGTTCAGTTGTAATAGAGAAAGGGTAATGAATTTGGATAAATATAGAAATTTTCAAAGAAAAAAATTAGTGAACAGTGCCTCATTGTCTTGACTGGTTGAATATGAGGAGCCAAATGAGAGACGTTTCTAATATGACTCTCACATTTCTGACTTGCTTCGCTGGGTAGGTGGCATGACCACTAGTGATTACTGGAAGCTTAAGAAAGGGAATAGACTGAGTGGAAGAGAACAGGTTTAATTTTTGCTTTAAGGCATTTTGAATTTGTAATACTATGGATACACCCAAGTGAGAATATCTAGCGCATACGCAAACAAACGTTTCTGAAGCCATTTTCAAAAACATGGACACACACACACACACACACACACACACACACACACACACACACACAAAGAGCTATAAAGCTTAGAGCATACAACCATGAACATGGGTGAAAGTGCTCCAGAAAGACCACAGCTGGGTAAACAGTAGGCCAACAGGATATTCAGGGGGAAGAATATGAGTCCAAGAAGTCCAAAACGAATAATCCTGAACAGAAGACAACAAACAAAATCCTGAGACGATAGTGTCACAGAAGCTAAGTGTGTAGAAGCATTCAATAACAGAATGGTGGATATTTATATTTTTCAAGGACACATTCTATGTTTTTTACAATTTTGGTGTTATTATCCCAAATTGTTTTGGTTGGCAGTATTTTATTAGGACGTTACAGATCTGGAATATTAGATCTGTGAACCATAAACTGAGGTTCTGCAACAGCACTGATTTGGTTTTTAATTTGATTAGGTACAGGTCCTCTTCTTCCAAAGCATTGAGATGCTGGCAAATTTAAGAAATAGGATCTTGTTCATTCTTCTCAGTATAACCCCTCCCCACTGTGTATTGCCTACAAGAAAATAAAGGCTTTTTCCTGTTATTTTATTACTATCAAGTCTCAGTATAATGGTCAAAATCATAATTATTCCAAAAATGAGCAATTCATCCTGCTTGTCAACAAAATTCAGAGTATATCTTACTTTGTAGTCTGAGTTTACTCATAAATTAGGCAACAGATTATTTTTCATTTGTTGGACTCCTGATGTTGAATTTGTGATTCTATATTTGCTTATGTATGTATATATGATTCAAGTGAGCAGTTTCTAACTTCTTAAGTAAAAAATGTAATCACAATCTCTAACACTATTTAAAATATCGGAGTGTAACTATCTGGCTGCATAGTAGGTTATCCAAAATCTTAGACAATACCATAAAAGTAACTTACCTGAAACAAAGCATTACCATGTATGTTTCCAGCTGTAACATTTGCACTTTGAAATATTCATATAGTACTCTCATTTTCTTGGTCTCTAAGTGGAGATCTGCATGCAATCAAGTTAAAGAGTTGTTGCTGAATGAGTGCTATGATGTTTTTAATTTTTTGAGATGTCATAGCTTAGTAAAACAAGTAACATTGTTTTTACTAATATCCTATCAAGATGACTTGCCTGCTTTCTAAAGAGTAAACAACTCAGCAATATAGGATCTTCCTAAAGAAAAATGACGTGATTCTGAAATATATTGAAGTAGTTGTATGGAAACAATAATTGGCAAAGGAGGAAATCATTGGTTAAACATATGTTAGGCAGTGCAGTCGTGGCTAAGTTATATCACATATTTCTCTTCTGCTGTACAATTGTTTATGATCCTTTGCCTGTTAACTAGAGGCAAACATTGAAAACTATGACTTCTGAAGAATTAGGTATGACTCTGTAGACATCCTACAAAAAAATGTGTGTTAGAAATAAAATGAAGAAAATACTTAAGCAAAAAAAGACACAATCAGCTTATTTCAAGTTCTTCTGAAGGAAAACTAGGAATTTGCCAAGATGGAGGGATTTTGTAGACCTTGAAAAACCTTCAGTGTTAGACAACCCTGATGGAAATAAGTTAAAGAAAACAGAGAGATAAAATAGAATGAAAATTAAAATAAGAGCACTTGACACTTCCCGGGCACATATTGTTTAGTAGGTACTGTTTTAAAACTAAATATGTAAATCCCTTCAACCTCAAAGTAAAGTTATGAAGCAGGATTTATTTACTAATTAAGTATGAGAAAACTGAATTTGAAAGTTGACAGTGGAATTGCTCTAAATATTTACCTAACGTAATAGCAGCCACTGTAATATGTGTGCATGTGGAGTGTGTGTATATGGGTGTGTTTGTGTTGGTGGGTATATCTCAAAAACTTATTCCAGAAGAAATCTATTATTAACATATTTTATTTATTTATCAAATATCTGATCAATACAGATGTTCTTTGAAGGCAAGCGGCTTTCTCCTTTTTTATGACATTCAAGGTTCTTTGCATCTCATGGCTTACTCTTTTACAAGACTTTAAGATCCCTCTTCAGCCAGTACATGGAAAGTTTATGGCCAAGAATTGGAAATGATGAAGTCAGGATTAAGAGATGTGTTCTAGAGAGTAACCAGGAAAAAGGGCAAGCAGATTTGTTTGCTAAGCAAACCATAGCCCGGTACTGCAATAAACCCTTAAATCATTATTTTTGAAAATTAGAAGGCACTTTACATCAAGCACTTTTTTCCTGCAAGTATAATCCCAAGGTACCATTAAAGTAATATTAACAAATCTCAATTTTAGTGATGAAATTTTCAAAAGTTTAAATCTACTGCTCTAGTATGTAATAGTTAAAATGAATGCTTAAAAAATTTTAGGATGATATTCTGAGTTTTTCTTAGTCCCTGTCTCCAAATGATGTTGGGTCACAGATCACTCTCTTAGCAACAAAATTGAAATTATGTTTTCCAAATCTGATAAATTACTTAAAAATCGTGCAGATGCCATATTGCTATTATCATTTCTAGATGTACCAGTCAATTCTGCAAATTTAAAATATGCATGGAAAATTGATTTCAGAAAATAAATAAATTTCAGGATCTGTTTTTCTTTTTTTTTTTAAAAAATTTTATTTCTTTATTGGGAAGTCAGATATACAGAGAGGAAGAGAGACAGAGAGGAAGATCTTCCATCC